CCACCCCCTCAAAAAAAGAACGCTTCTCAGAAACCAGTCCCCAGCAACCACTTCCCAGAAACCAGTCACCAGAAACCAGTCTCCAGAAACCACTTCCCAGAAAAACCACTTCCCAAAAACCACTGCCCAGAAACCACTTCCGAGAAACCAGCCCCCAGAAACCACTTCCCAGAAACCAGCCCCCAGAAACCACTCCCCAGAAACCACTTCCCGGAAACCACTCCCCAGAAACCACTTCCCGGAAACCACTTCCCGGAAACCACTTCCCGGAAACCACTTCCCAGAAACCACTTGCCAGAAACCACTTGCCAGAAACCACTTCCCAGAAACCACTTCCCAGAAACCAGCCCCCAAAAAGCACTTCCCAGAAACCACTTCCCAGAAACCAGCCCCCAGAAACCACTTCCCAGAAACCACTTCCCAGAAACCAGCCCCCAGAAACCACTTCCCAGAAACCACTTCCCAGAAACCACTTCCCAGAAACCAGCGTCCAGAAACCACTTTCCAGAAACCACTTGCCAGAAACCACTTCCCAGAAACCACTGCCCAGAAACCACTTCCCAGAAACCACTTCCCAGAAACCACTTCCTAGCCTCGGGAGACCATATCACCCGCGTTCCGAAACAAGGCGAATCCAGGGTCCGAAACGAGACGAATCCAGGTTCCGAAACGAGACGAATCCAGGTTCCGAAACGAGGCGTCGGCCATTTCGGAGTGCATAAACCGTGAAACGCTCGATGGAATTTCGTGATCCTTTGAACCTCCTAAACACTATGGAACGAGGAATTATACCTCCCTGGCCAGGAAAACTGGTTCACCTCAACCCTTCCAAACACCACGAAAGACATTCCCTTTCTTTTCTGCTACTCCCACTCAGGATCCGCCCCCCACTCCGCTCGGCTCCGCTCCGACCGCTTTTTCGGCGCTCCTGGATGTTCCTTCAGAAAGGCCTCCACCGCCGCGCGCACCGCGCGGTTCGGGTGCAGGGCGCCGCCGTCCGGTTCTGGGAGCCTCGGCACCGTGGCAGTCTGCGGTCTGCGGTGGTGGTGCCAAGGGGCGGGCATGACATGCGGTGAAGACTGCGACTGCTTGGTATGATCTCATTTTACTCCCACTCTAGTTGGCTTGAAGAGTCAGCCTTTTTCAGGTAGTGACACCTCCCACTCCTGCCACTACGCTTGAAGAGGTGAATACTGAAATAGGGTGCCCCTTTTACTAAAAAGATGGTCCTTTTGGTCAGGGGTCCCAAGTTGGAGGTCATAACTGGTCATCAAATGACCTGGGGTGACGTAACTTGCGCCATGATCCTGCAAGTGGTCTGCATCGTTACCTATTAACTCGAGTGGTCCAGGTTTGGGTGTCAACAAACCCTTCGGGCTTGACCCTTCGACCTGTAGCTGAGTGACCCTTCGATACCTGCGGCGCAAGTGATCTGCTTCAACTAAATCAATTGTTAGCCGTTTTTCACTCGACCCCGCCAAATTAGCCGCTAAATGCAGGACGGCTAGCCGCACCGAATTCCTCCACTTCTCTTCATGTACGCCCCACTACTAGCCGCACTGGCCTATCTATCCTTGCAACGGAAGTGGACAGTTGCCCCTGGAAAGACTCTTTCCCTCTACGGAGGGTTGTCCACAACCATGTTTGCGTGTCACGCCCCATCACCGCCGTATGCTTTTGTCGTTTTTGGGCAATTGCTCCCAATTTCGTGCGATCTATGTGCTGTGTTTTCTGATGTCCGCAGCGCCGGGCCACTGGGGCAAAAATAATATGCAGCATGCATTTCAATGTTAGCGGGTTGACAACCGCGCTAGTAGTTGTGCACTTTTTGATCAAACCACGGAGAGCTTGTCTGATGTCGTTGCATGTAAGATGAGCCTTTACATGTTCACTAACAGCATTTGTTACGTTTAATCAGGGCAACATGTTTCTTCTTCGTACGTGTTCACAGTTTCTTTTTGTCTGTTTGGCCGAGAATTTCCTTTCGTTTCGGAATTGTTGCACTCCTCGGTGGTAATGTGTTGGATATGCTTGGAAGATGATGCCACCTGCATACGCACTTTGGAAAAAAGTGGCTTCCTCTCTTGAAACTCATGGAAATAGTGTGTCGCCGTCCTTGGCCTCAAATTACCTTTTTTCAAGACCAACAAAAACACATGGTGTATTAAAAAAAAGCCTCCATCCTTGTAGAAGGGAGACCATCAATTGCCCCACCGTTTCACCCCTCTCTTGAGGTCCCAGGCCACCGGGACCCGGGACAGGCCCGGGACAGGTGTTCATCGCTCGTTTCATCGCTCGCCAGGGCGCGGGAGGTTGGTGAGGGGATCCACCAGGCGATGCTGGAGAGCCTTGCTGTACATCTCCCGCTCGTAGGTGTTGCCGAATAAGTTCACCACTGGCTCGCGGAACATCACCTGGGAGGGTTTACGGAAGAAGTCACGTGGCGTACATCTTCCGAGGTCGCCGAAGGCCTGTTTCGGAAACTCTTTGTGAGTGAGATTCCACCGGATTCCTAGAGGGAGAAAGAACTCTCGGATGAAGAAGTTTCCATAGGGCCCAGGTCTGAAGCTTGGCAAGGCTTTCGCGCAACTCGTGCAGCGTGACTCATGCAGGCTACGCTGGGAAGCATCCGGTGGGGAACGATTCCCTGCGGTGTTCAACAAATCCACCCTCCACAAAGGCAGGTTCTGCTTGGCTTCTTCAGTGCCTACTATTGACGATTGGAGCCAACATGTTGCTCAGCATCCTGCTCAGCTCTGCTCATCCCCAATTCACCTTCGCCTGTTGTTGAGCGAATCTCTTTCTTCACCGTGAATCTCTGTGACGTTCTAACAGTCAAATGGCTAACAAAACTACACTAGAAACAGCCATATGACCTAAACGGTTGTTTTCTTCTCTTTTATATAACAGTCAAATGACTTAAGACATCCTTTTCACATGCATGAAACCGTTTCATCCGGGGGATCCACATGGACCCCCCTTGTCTTCACTGCGGATGTCTGTCAAGGACTCATCCCGCCCCAACCAGGCCACTCCCGTCAACGGGCATGTGAGCCATTCAGGCTCCGGCAGCTCAATGAGACCCACGACCGGCTCCATGGCACTGGAGAGCGCGGGGTCTCGCGCGAGAGAGAGCACGGCACGGAGGGATCGTGGAATGGGGGATTGAAAACTGATGTTGCAGCATATACACATGTTATTGCAGGGGTATGGAACAGAACAAGTGTTGTCCGTGTGGTTGTTCAAGATTGCGAATCTCCCCTTGGTGAATTTGAGGTGCTATGCATGTCATCTGAGAATCCAGAAAAACAGATAAATCAAAGGCCTTCATCATCCTGTTCTTGAGAAAGCTAACTTCAGTTGACCCTAGTTCTCATGCTCCCACCGGTCTGTTTAGGAGTAGTGGGGAATAGTGGAACCAGGTGGAACCAGTTTTTGATGTGCTGGGCCGCACCAGCCGTCCAAAGCTTCGGACCGCTAAGAGGAACGGAATGAACGCCCGTGAATGAAGGAAGATACGGAAGGATCTCCGATGAAGATCCGGGGTGGGTCAGACCCCCAGAATGCAAATTGTTCCTGCACAAGAGGAACGGAATGAACGCCCCCTTACAGCTATCTCAATGAAAGAAGGATCTCCAATGCTTCGGAAGACACTACGGCCAGCCCGTGACCTTCGGCCAGGGTGACGGGGTTTTGGCACTCGAGCCGACAGGGCGGGCCAGTTCCCCAAACAGTGCCCGCAAGATGCGGGCAGCAAGCAGCTCAGCCCGGAAATAGGGGGGGGCCTTTTGGAAGCAAACAGACTTCCGCGAAATCACCATCCTTTGACTGAGCAATCAACTTCCAAATCCAATAAGCCCTTCTTGGACCAGGTGCTGAGTTGTTGTTTTCGGCATTTTCTGGGAGGTTCTTAGTTCTTTGAATGTTTCAATCAGGTTCAATAAGCTAGTCCATTTTCAGGTCCATTCTCAGCTCACATCATCTCACATCTCAGCTCCCCTGCATGGGACGGCTGCGGGCAAGGCCCGTAGCAGTGACTTGGGCAGCGACTGCGCCGACCCAGGCGCCTCAACCGGTCGACCCACGGAACAACGCAACGGGTGGAGACCCGGTCCACCGGACTAGTGGAGACCTGAAGGAAGGGGGGACGACCTCCCAAAAGGTCTGGACGAGTCCATGTGGATGTTCTGTTCCAAAGCTCTGTGAGGTTCTCATGAGCGAAGGGACCCTAGGCCACCTGAGGTTTGAAGAGACCCTGGGAAAAACCTCATTCTGGACGGTGCCTTTGGAAAAAAAGGGTCAGGCAAGGTGCTCTCAAAAAGGAAACCCTCACGTCCTTTTTAGGCCTCACTCACTGGATCTGGACCGAACACTAGCTGGATCTGGATGTGGAACTCTGAACCATGATTTAGCTTCTTGTTTCTAATAGCAAACATTGTTACTACTAGTAAGGCACCTGTTACTACTAGCGTGGCACTAACATGAATCCTGGCACCTCGCATCCCTCGAACATCGCCTCCCCCACCTCGACCTGCTCCACGTCCGTTCGCGCCGGCCTCAAAGCCTCCCAGCTCGCCGTGGAGCACCACCTGGATGGCGCCTCCTGGAAAAAGGACGTGGAGTCAAGGCCTGTATAAGGGGAGGGAGAGCTTTGGGAAGTGCTGGAACAAACCAACAAGGACCAGGTAGCTAGGGCAACGAGTCACCGAACCCCCTGCAACTCGCCCAAGGGTGCGGTGAATGATGCCAGGAAAAGTACCAATCTGCAACATCCACACAGTATGAGGTGCATTGAAGCATGATCCTAGCTTGATCATGCAAAGCTCCCATTGGAAGCATCTTTCAACCATAAATTAGTATTCCAACTGATTCCCTCCTTCAATATTCCTTTGGTGGAAAACCGCCTTCCATTGGTTCGCATGCCAACCACTTCCATGTTTGTTGGACAGAGGGCACACCATTGATGCTACTATGTAAAGCCTGCATCTCACGCTTCTTTTGCTGCTCGCGCCGCGCTTTGCTTCAGATCTGCCGCTCAACCAATGTCTCGGTGTCAAGAGCTTGAAAACCCATCTCCTCTGCAAAGTCCTGCATCAACTTGAGATAGTCCGCCTTCGACAGCTTGATCTTGCCGTCACTTTTCACCACGAAAAGCTCACCCATGCCTGACAGGCGGTCAAAGTCTGCTTCGGGGTGGGGCTCATATCTGAGGGTATACTGCTCTTCACCAATCCAGAATTCTGTGATTCCTTGGAATTGCGAGAGTGGTTGCTTGGGAGGCACAAACCCGATGTCCGCAGTGATGAGGGACCGATCGAAGAAAAGGTCATAGGGGTCCGTGTCACTGTTCTCGAAGAGCTTGCTGGTCAGAATGACGGAGCTGATCATCAAGTATCGTGAACCCTGTTCATCCATCGCCCAAGGATAAGGGACGTCACTGTTACCAACGGGCGAGACATACTTTGTGATGGGTGCTTTGGCTGTGAAGGAGAAGACGTGCTCCCCAACAAACACATACTTCAATCCCTCCAAGTGCAGCAACATGGAGTTTCCGTCAAAGCGAGCGCCATGCTTTGGGCACTGCCCGACAAAGACCCTCTCCACAGACAAGGTGACAGAGGCCTGCTCTTCGTAGTTGGGCATGTCCTGGTCTTCTTCATCTTCCTCACCATCCTCCTCTTCTTCTCCTTCGCCATCCGCCATCTTCAAGAAGAGCTTGTCCACCCCTAGCTCCTTGGCGAGGTCCCCGGCAGTTACTACTCGAACTCCTTCGACTCCTTCGACTCCTTCCTTTGACTCCTTCTGCCCTGCATCTTCCTGGTCCTTGCCGTCCTCGCCGTCCTCGCCGTCCTCGCCGTCCTCGCCGTCCTCGCTCTCGCTTTGGTTGAGAATCTTGAAAACCTGAACGTTGGCCTTCGAAGAATTCGTCCGCGTCACTTCCACTTTGAAGGGACGACCACCGTTGTCATGAACAAAGTATGGACCCTCCGCCTGGCCACTTTTTGCATCGGTACCTTGCTGGTCGAATTGGTTGTTTCTCAAGATCAATTTTGGGATCCCTGTGCATTTTAACATATGTTTACATTTACATTAATGTATTCATGTAACAACTGGAAAAGATTGCATACGGCAGCTCAGGCACACACGGCAGGTTTCTTCTGGGCGGGTTCCTCTGCCGCATCTTCCGCAGGTCTCTTCATGTTGCACGGAGCGCCCACGAAGACGATGCCAAGCTAACTGCGTTGTTCTGGCAGTGCTGTTTGGGGACAAGCGGTTTGGAGCCAAGCTGTGGCAGAGGCACAGTTGTGGCAAAGTTGTGGCGAACAAAGTTCCAGCAATTTGGGAGAACTCCAAGCACCATAATGAGCCTCACAAAGCCTGTTTTCCATGTTGGTTTCCCTCACGAGGGTTCAACCTAATCTATCAAAGAATTCCTATAGCCCACGCCCCTTCACTCCTGACATCACTTCGCCCGGCACCAGTTGGCGCAGCTGGGCACCCGCTGATAGGAAGGGCCTCTGAAGCCGAGGCAGCAGCTGGAACAAAGGCCTTCCGAGCAGGGAAAACCACCGAGTCGGCATGCGGTGGCGGCACAGTGCACCATGGGGCAGTGCAAGGCCAAGAATGAAATTAGATGATTCGCTTTTGTGGCACCATCCTTTCCATGGAAATCTCAGCAAGACGAAGACGGACATCCTAGTTTTAGCTAACGGTCCCAATAGAGACGCGAGGGAAAGATTGTGAATGTTGAAAAGTTCGTGTGGTATTTACCCGCTGGGGTGAGCGTTAACTCCGCAAAGTATTTTTTTGGTGGTTTGTACGTTGTCATCGGCTTCAGAAGATAGTCCTCCATTTCGTAACAGTATCATCGATTGCACAACATTGTGAACAATATAAAAATGTTTGTGGTGTGGGCGGGGTGGGGAGATCCTGACGTTCGATTGGAAGTGCGATGAAGCTACATGCACACACGTTCAACGCGTCGACACGCGCATCGGCTGATGCGAAGCTCCGCTTCACGTAGCTGTAGCAAATGGAGAGTAGTCAGACTTCCTTTCTTCATGTTTTGGATGATCTTTGTATTTGTTGCAGGTGATGACATGTTCGGATTCTGACAGTGTTATTCCATTCTACATTAATGTTGGAGCCTGATTAGTAAATAGGTCCTCTATAATGCTAAATTTTTCCAAATCTATTCAGACCCCCCTGTTTGAAAAATGGTACCTCTATAATGCTAAATCTTTTTTGGGCCCTAAATGTTTAAATTGGAAACCCAATTAATAAGGGTGTGAATTCCTTCTGAACCCTGTCCACCTGCACTCCCCCCTCCCTTCCCAGGCAAGCAGCCAGCAGCAAAGCAAAACACAGACAAACAGACCACCAACAATCAATTACAAAAAGGAATTCTCACAGGAATCCAGATTTGTTTTGGTGATAGTTTATTATAGAGGACCCCCTGTTTGTTTGAGGGGGGGGGCCTATTTACTAATCAGGATCGCACATTATTGTTGAAAGTAAAACACTCAGTAACAATTTCAGTAGCAGAACCGACGCTTCGGAGTGTGTTGACAAAGTACCGCTCCCATGGCGACGCAACCATCTATATACATAGGGTGCTTAAATTCCCCTGCGTCGCTATGGGGACCGTTACCTACTTTTTGTTTTGTCTGTTCTTTGGGGGCAGATACTGCCTTCAAGGTTTGGCACTTCTTTCAAGCTTTGCATTGCTAGTCACCGTTTTGATGGGGCATTGACTCATCTGGCTACAGGATCTACACTCAACGCGAGCGCAAGGGACAGTTAAGAAGCGGGACTCCTAGCAAGTCATACGGGAGAAGAGATGGTCATTGACCACTTGGTGTGAAAGGGGGGGTGTTCAGGTCGTTCTGCTACCCCCACGAATTCCTAGGCAATGCGGTTGTGGATGGATACTGGATGCCGTTTGTCTTCAAGTGTTCCCAAGCCAAGGTCATAGCAATCGTCGTAAAAACTGTTTGCCACAGAACCAGCCCTCATGTGCCAAGCTCACTTGGAGATTGGCCAATTTGGAGGATAAATCTTCGAAAAGCTCCAGAAGAAAGCTGCTCCTTTTTAAGGCTGGCCTTCCTCAGGGCTGTTCTGCGCACCATCTGTTCGCACCCTTGAGGAAAACGCGAACGTCCGCCTTCCGAGACAACCGGCACGACGTGGATTCCCCGTCAGTGGATTCCCCGTTGACGACCGACGGCCTGAGCTCTCCACAGATGCCTGCGCCGCGAGCTCAGCTTTGAGGGGAGGTGCAAAGGCCACGACCGTTTTTCTTGGCTCAAGTCGGACAGGCGGACAGTGTGAGTAGCTTGAGAAACATATTATATACATCTTGTCCGGAATCAATAGGTTCAATAGTGCACTTCACTCATGAAGGAACCAGACCTACCACTGCCAGTTGCTCGTTTGCTCATCTCGACAAAGGGAAAGGAGCTGTCCCCTGCTCTTCCTCGTCTCTCAAATAAGACCCAGTAAAACAATATGTCACCATTGACTGATCTTGTCTGCAAACCAATCGGGTTTTAGACACTTAGAGCATTGGTCGTACAAAAAGGACCCCGAAGAAACGCTCGCGAGTGGAAATTGCGCGTGTCATGATTGAATCTTCTTGCACTTCAAAGATCAAATCCAGCTGGGATATGATTCCTGAACACCCTCTCCCCATCAAGACAACATCCAGAAACCCCCATCAAGCAGTTCATCCCCGCCCCAACTGCTCAACTGTCAAAGGTCATCCAGCCAAAAGAGCCCCACCAGAAGTGGCCGGGATTTGAACTGTGGGATTTGGTGAGAAACGAGGTCAGGCTCCTGAAGTGCTGGATTCTGTTTAACCTACTGGTATTGTAGCTTGGCTTCATTCTCCCTTGCTTATCACACAAGGCTGATACTTAAGCCTTTAACTTACCAGGAACACCACAAAGTAGAAAGCTGATTTCCATGTTGGGTCGCGAAGCAAACCAACGTCCAAAATGTGATCCAGAGACCAGTGGGCTCAAACGGAATCTTGAATCAAGAAAAAGGAACACCCAGATGCGCTACAATCTACTAGTTGGGCTGCAATGTTCCTATCTCCTCAAATCACTGAATTAAAATAAGCGGTCATCCAACTTCGACGCCTGCCTGGGAGCAAGATGCGCATCATTGCCCCGGACCAGTCCATGATCGCCTCAACAAAAGAAGGATCATGTAGACTAATGTAGACTATTGATTGTATTCAACTGTATAATAATCCAAATCGGGGGGTCTTTCATGGACAGTCACGTTGCAGTATCTGAAAAACTCGACACGGACATGGACAGTGGATTCCATTGCAATAAGGGCAAAATTAACGCAGCGTAGACCTGGCTACAGACCTCGTGATTGGGATGAACACGAGACCCGCGGTACGCCGTTGCTCCAGCAAGACCGGAGGGATCACATTTGATTTCCAGATGTTCGGGGCAAATTCCAGGTGTTGCCAAGGGTTCCTAGACATGTGACTGGGCCGATTTTTCGCTGAGCTGCTGTGTGAGCCAGGTGCAGCCCCACCTCCTCTTCCGCCTGGCAACTCTCCGAGTCGACGTAGAAACGATCTCTCTTCCGACAGAGTACAAGTAGCACGAATGCAACCGAAGAAAACCAAACATCTTCTGACAATTCGCTCCGACCTCGCGGCAAAGCACTCCTGGAATGACTATACATCTGACAATGTGAATCATAGTTATACGACATACTGCACTGCTGGTCAGAAGCATAGCCATTACCCTACTGACTCCTACAGTAGTGCTTTTGAATGGCGAAGTGGCTCCTTCCGAACCCGAAAACCTCTCCTCCAACCCAAAAGCCTCTTCAAACCCCAACCCCTCGGCGCTCTCCGCTCCGCCGGTGGCCTGCAGCTCGCAACTCTCCACACGCATCAAGGTCTCGCTCCGACCTCGCGGTCGAAGGGTTCGAAAAACCCCCGAGGAGCAGAGGTGCCCAAGCGACGCTGGACACTTGACACACCCGGTCCTCTCCATTGGTGGGAGGAAAGACCAAAAGGAGGACTACACCGGAGCCAATGTGAAGGTGAGAAATCTCGACAAACACCTGGACACCTCTCCGTAGGGTTTTTCCCGATCCGGGCGCCTCGTGGTCCATGCGGCGGGATCCGTCAAACCCCAAGGCCCCCTTTGGACACACCTTAAGTACTGACATGATGTTAAACCGGGGAAACTGCTTGTGTTGCAGGCCTGACAGTGGCATGTTTCCTGGAAACTGAAAACCCGTGGATTGTAGAGGAAATAGTCTTCCAATGGTCCATTTTCAGGTTTCATGTGGGTCTCTTCCCGGGAAAGAAACACATGCGCAGGACATGCCCAGTCTGGGTAGGGACTGATTTGAGGAGTTAGAAAGAATTTCACTTCAGAGGTAATTGTTTCCATCCGTCCTTGGTCCAACATAGGGTGTGAAAAGAATTACATCAAGAGTTAATCTTCTTTATTAGGTCACACGTAGTGATCTGAAGAATTAACCCTCAATTTAACTATGTTCAAAGTCTGTTTAAAATCCTCTTGGGGGACTAGGAAAGTAGACAGGTTTATACCAGGGAGAGAACACTGGCTCAGTGACACCATTGTTTGGGACACAGAACAAAGAATTAACTGTAACTCTAGATTTATTGGTTTTCAAAGTCGGTTTAAAGTGTTCTTGGGAGACTAGGAAACTACAGAGGTTTACGCCAGAGAATGAACAGTGTCTCAGTGACACTACAGTCTGGGACACAGAAAACAAGAATTAACACTGGATATAAGTCGTTTCAAAGTCTGCTTAAATTCCTCTTGGGAGACTAGGAGTGTAGACAGGTGTACACCAGGGAGAGAACACTGGCTCAGTGACACTAGATTTTGGGGCACAAAGAAGAAGAATTAACTCCGGATTTAGCTATTTTCAAAGTCTGGTTAAAATTCCTCTTGGGAGACTAGGAAACTAGAAGGGTATACTATACACCAGGGAGAGAACAGTGGAGATAATTCCTCAAGCGACCATGCCAGAAATGAAGAGATTTACAGTAAATCAGAAGTTAGTTCCTCGAACGACCATGCGAGCATACCAGAACTGAAATGAAAAGAAATAAATCAGGAGGCAATTCTTCTTAATGTAGACTCTTGATTAATAAACCCCCCATATAAAGAGGATGTTCAATTCAAATTGGGGGGTGTATTAATCAAGAGTCTACATTACTCTGGAAAGTATTCCTTTTCCCCAGTCTGCCTGAGCGAAAGCTGCAGCTACCTGCCGCG